TTACCACTTTTTAAAGTCATATTTGGATTTATAACTTATATTATTAATTTAAGTTAATTTTTTTATTTAGGCTAAGCGTTTGGGGAGACAACCATTGATGACTGAGCTGGTTACCGAAACTCGGACAAAGAAATCAGGAGGATTTATTGACGAGCGTACAAAAAAAGCCCTGGTAAGTAAATTTATGTTTATATATATATATTTTTATTTTTTAAGCAATTTTGTGACGTGATTTTCACGTAGCAAGTGGGATGTTGTGGCGTGAAAATTGAGTGGCAACTGATAAGTTGTGGCGTTACAATCACGTGGCTATATGTTTTTTATTATTATTTTTTATTTTATTTAATTTCATTAATTTTACTTATATATTTAACTTGATTTTTTTATTGTATGTGTAGGAGGATTATCAGGCCTTGCTTGTAGAATTTCTGACCCATAATCTTCAGTATACTCCTCCTCCGGGAAAACCAGTTCATCCAGATGTGGATTTCTATATTTTGAGTCAAGTTGTTGGGGGAAAGGGGCCTAACGGGTGTTTTTTTGTTGGTGGAAATTTGGCGGGCACCTTGAGGAGTGGGGATAGAACTCTGTATCAGAGAGCTGCGGACGGTGAAGGAGGGTCACGTCAAACAAATTTGACACCAGATCAGTTAGAAACGGTAAGACAATTGACTAGACGCGAGTCCGAAGAACGCGAGGCGGCATTGAAGGCCCAAATGGAGGCAATAGGGGGTGAACATAATAGAGAAATGAAGGCAATGGCGAAGAGGCATGCTGATATGGAGGAGCAAATGCGACAATTTATGCAAGCATTTGGTGGAAATCCCAACAATGATGGCCAAAATAATAACCACCAAAATAATGATGACTTTCTTCGCGACTTTTCCGACGACTCGAATGATCCTTCTGTTTAGTTTTATTTTTATTTTCTATTTAGTTTTTTATTTGTGTACTAATATAAATTTATAATCATATTGTATATTTAAAAATATTAAATTTAAATTTTAGTTTATTAATTTTATTATATTAAGTATATTAATTTATATATTTTGATATATTTAGTTTTATTTTTGATAATTTGATTTATAATATTGAATTTAATAAATAAATTATTTAATTTATAAATTTAATGAAACAGAAAATAATATTAATTATTATATCAGAATTATTATATTTAAAACAAAAAATATTTATTAAAAAAAAGTTGCGACGTGTTTTTCACGTCACTAATTAGTGACATGAAAAACACGCCGCAACACACAACGTAAAAATAAATATAAAACATGCTCTGACCTCTGCTCTTCTCTGACTGCCTTTGACCCCATAAAGTTTGTTGCAGTGTGAATTTCACGTGGCAACGTTATGACATGTTTCCCACGTCGCAACAACATTGCCACGCACTCTCCAGCGACGTGTTTCTTCAGGTGACAAAAATAAAGTTGTGACGTGATTTGGGTGTTAGCGACGTGAGATTCACGTGGCAAAACACAACTTATTTTGTAGTGATTACTTACATGATTTTTTGTATTTTTATGTTTAAAAGATGCAGTGTTTGTGGGTCTGCCTCGTCCCGTCATCACTTTTAGTGCAGGACGAGCCAAACTTTTAGATTCGCACCCTCAAAGATGTCCCTGTCCTGCTCCTTTTTTTCCAAATTTTTACAGAGTAGAATTAAACAGAATGACATGTTGGTTTTCCACCCGTTATCCCAGTCCATTCAATCACAAGCTTTACAAATGATTTATTTCTTTCATTGCATTGATTGATATTTACTTGCTATTATTAAACATATTTTATTTCTTGATTATATTCTATCTTTATATCTTGAATATTATCTCTTTATATTCCTTGCGTTTCAAAATGATTGTCGTTTTAGCAAATAAAATTTATTTTAAAATGACTGTTATTTTCACTTTTCAATATTGTAATGATTATCATTTTTCCAATTGTGCTATTTACTTTTTACTTTAGACACTACTTCCAATACATTAATAAAGTTAATTTTGTAAAAGTGGAATATTTTATGATAACATTATTATATTCCTTAATCTACGTACAGAATCCTTAAATGACAGTCATTTTGAAACAAATAAAAAATATTGAATTCTTTGAAACTCACGTACTACTCTTAACTACTGCTATTCAATCAATGTGTAATGTTTGAGTGAGTGTTTTCTTTGATTTGTCGTTACTTTTTCTACTAAAAAAAATCTACAAAATAAACATCTTAAATCCGTTTACAAAATTAATCTCTAATTGATATTAGAAAGAAAAAAATAGAAAAATAAATTTTGGAATGAATAGTAGAAGAAGGAAATAAAAATCAGAAAAATAGAAAAATTGATTGAGAAGGGAGAAAAAATATGAGAATTTTAAGTTATTTCAACGTGAAGCTCCATGATATATCATTTATTATTATTTTTGGATTAATATATACTTAAAAGATTGTATATAACAAATAGATTATAAGTAGTTGTTGAATATATATATATATATATATATATATATATATATATATATATATATATATATATATATATATATATATATATATATATATATATATATATATATATATATATATATATATATATATATATATATATATATTGGGAATAAATTGTGAGATAATAGAGCAGTGGAATTGTACGACTATTAAGAAAATTACATTTTTTATCTTTTAGTCATGAGAATAAAATTTTATATCCTATTTTTTAGTTAATATTTAAATTATTTAATTATTAATAAATATTGAGAATAAAAAATAATATTGACTTATAATAATAAGAATAATAAAAAAATCAAATATAACACAAAACAAATGGATATTTTTTGCTATTTAAAAACATGATTTCAGTATATTAAGTTTTTTCTTTATTTAATTGGAAACACAAATGTAAAAAAGAAAACGTGATGACAAATTTTATACTATAAAAAACATATAATCATTAGTCTTTTATAAAAGTTACATAGAATTTTTTCAACAATATATATACCTAAAAAATATGTTAAAGAAATTTCAACCTAAATTTTTTTTTGTCAAAGTTAAATATAATATATTATCAAATAAAATTGAATATACTTATTCATTATACTTCATTAAGATGTAGAGTTATAACATGGAAAAGAGAGTGGCATTATATTTCTTCATTAAGATGGTAGAATTAACTAAACATTGAGTTATGCTTAAGAATAAAATAAAGTGGTCTTTGTTTCAAGTTTAAGAATTTAATTCATAAGAATAATTTCTAAAAAATGGTTATATTCATGTTTGTTAATAATGGAAGAAATTTTTTTCTTAAATATAGATATTTCAAGATATAAAATAACTTCTATAATTTCTATAACTCTCATAAATTAATTCCTGTATAAAAAGATGAAAATATTCATTCTTAAAAAATTTTACATAAATTTTTTTATTAAAAAACAAAACTATTAATTTTCTTAGAAATATCAAATAATATGTCACACACATTTTCATAAAAATATCCAAAAAATATTATTATAATTTAATAAATAATTGAATTATCTTTAATATATTAAAATAAAATACACAGTTAAGCGTCAAACATTAAACAAAATCTCGCCTAAATATTTTTAATCACATTATTTTCTTTTTTCTTTCTAATAAATATTATTTAATATATTAATTAATATTTAATAATTATTCTAACTCATTAATTTACCATTAATTTTGACGTACTTTTAAAAAACTCATATTCAACCATTATAATAATAACAACATAAAAGATTATCGCATAAATGAAAATAAATATAAACAGAAAAATATGTAAACATTATTGAAGAAGAAATATTGAACAACATAACTAAAAATTACCTTTATTTCTTATGCAATTTTTTAATCATGACATGTTGATTCTCATGTTGATTCCAAAAAACAAAACATATTAATAATTTAATTAATAATTTTGAATATATTAGTTAATTAGAAATTCTAAGTTAAATAGGTATTTCCTATTTTAATTATTTTTTAAATTAAAATAAAAATAAAAATTAAATTTATATTAATAATTATTAAATAGGTGTCTCCTATTTTTTAGCCATTTCTAATATATTAACTAATTAAAAATAATAAAGAGAGATTATGGAATTATTGAGTTGATATTCTTAAATTGAAATTAAAATAAAAAATAAATTAATATTAATAATTACTAAATTAATTTTAATTTTGACTCCAAAAAATTCATTAAAAGACTTAACAATTTTAATTAATAAGATATTTTTTTAAAAATCAATTTGTGTAAAATCTAACTATCTACCCTGTTGATAATAATTTATAAGTAAATTTGATATAAATTAAATATATTAATTATGAAATATATCAAAAAAGTCAAATTTAAGAAGAGAGTAATCCATAACATCTATCACATATGTTTCTTTTTTGCTAAAAAAAATTCATGCTTTTGTTTTTTCATCATTTTGAGTAAAAAAAATCACATCCTTAAAAATCCAAAAACCCTAGTACTATTGAATAGACGTAGCAGTGTTGGTGAAGTGTGAAAGTCATTAGGGTGTATATTAACGTTGGAAACCGGAACGGATCGAGGGCAGTGACCCGACTGGACTGGTAAACAAACCTTTCACGTCTCTCTCTCCTCACTCCTCATCGAGGAAGAGAGAGAGAGAGGGGTCTCATCCAATCCATCACTCCGCATCTTTCAATCTTCCATTCCTCTGATTTTCGATTCTCTCACTCACCAATCCGCTTTCATCCACCGCCCACTCCACACACAGGTATGTATCCACTTTATGGGTTTTCCTATTTTATCACTTCTTTCTTTTCCCTACTTTATGGGTTTTACTCTTCGATCTGATTCCCATGTTATCAACTTCTGAATCTCTTGCATTATTCACTCTCACACCACTTTTATGCACCGGACATTGGATACTAAATTTACTTAATCACTAGGCATCACTAGGTAGGACGGTTCAATAGATGGATTGTATTGGATTGGGCCTTGATGAATCTAGTTTATTTGTTACTTGAAGTGAAACCGCATTTTTTTTTGAAGTTTGAAGACCTGAGTTAGATACTTTCTCTCGCCCCTCCTGATTTGCAGGTATTCGAATGATTTTTTTTTTTTATAGTTTTTTTCCCCTCTAATTGCTTGTGTGTAACAAGCAAGCAACATATGTTGGTATTTAATGTAAGAGGGACTAGATATCTGTTTTCCTGTCTGTTGTATGCTGTCATCGTTCATTAATTTGTTTTGGATTATAGGAACAATGGGGAAGAAAACAAAAAAGAAGAGTCGAAGTGTTGTTAATTCGGGAGTTGCTGTACCTTTGTTGCCGAAAAATGTTGCGGAATCGGGCAACCCAACTATTGAGTCTTTTGATGAGGGAGTTTCAGTTGCAAAAGAGAGGAACTCTTGTCCTCATCTTGTTAAAGGTGTGAAATTAGATATATTGTCTGGTAAGATTGAGTCTTCTAAATCCATAAGGTGTGAAGATTGTAGGGAAGGGGCGGCTGATAGGAGGGATGGTAAAGGAAAAGGTAAGAACGTGAAGAAGAAAGGTGGTGCATCATTAGATTCCAAATCAGATTCGAAGTCTATATGGGTTTGTTTGGAGTGTGGCCACTATACCTGTGGAGGTGTCGGGTTACCAACAGCCCATCCTTGTCATGCTGTTGGGCATTCAAGGAAAACTAGACATCCATTAATGGTTAATACCGAAAAACCTCAACTTTGTTGGTGTTTTCCTTGTGACATGCTTATTCATGTTGATAAAATTGAAAAAACTGATGAAACAAGTCATATTTTGCCTGATATTGTGAAATTGTTAAAAGGACGGTCATCGGAAAAATCGGAAAAATCAATAGTGAGTATTGAGGATGTTTCCGTTGGGGGCGGCAGTGTTACTGCAGAAATTAAGTCAGGATCTCTGTCCATAAGTTACTCACATGGACAAGGTGGTTATGTAGTTCGAGGCATGGTTAATCTTGGGAATACTTGTTTCTTTAATTCAATCATGCAAAATCTGCTTGCTATGAATAAATTGCGGGATGATTTTCTAAAGATAGATACCCCTGTTGGGCCACTGATCAGTTCGTTGAAGAAGTTGTTCACCGAAACAAACCCAGAATCTGGATTCAGAAACACTATAAACCCAAGATCCATTTTTGGTTGTGTATGTTCCAAGTCTCCCCAATTTCGAGGATATCAGCAACATGACAGTCATGAATTGCTCTGCTGTTTACTGGATGGGTTGAGTACCGAAGAACTAGCAGGAAGGAAGCAGAATGGTACTCTCAAAAGAGACGGGACCTCTTCCAATACTTTAGTTGATGCCTTATTTGGGGGTCAGATCTCTAGTACTGTATGCTGCAATGAATGTAGGCATTCCTCGACAGTGTATGAGCCTTTTTTAGATCTTTCACTTTCTGTTCCAACTAAGAATCCTCCATCTCGGAAGGCTCCACAAGTACCCCGAACGAAAAAGACGAAACTTCCACCAAAAAGATTAGGAAAGTCTCGAGTCAAAGTTAACAAGGATGCTGATCCCTTACCTGTTCAAAGTGTACCTAGCCAATCATCAAGCCATGAATCATCCTGCCCTGATAACTCTATCATATCAGTATCTGGAGAAATGGTGGTTTCTTCTGATGATTGTACGGTATTAGGCTCTGAAGAAATAAGCAGCGCGGCCAATAAAGAGGACTTATCTCAACTTAATTTGGTTACCGTTGGAGAGTCTCAACAAATTCAGGTGCTTGACAGTGTTGCAAATAAAACGACAGGTTTGTCAGATGATTTTGCATGGTTGGATTATGTAGAAGCTGAAACTGTGGTAGATGAATATACTTCCATATCTCAGAAGGAAGATGCACTGGAGGTACAGGACTCTGAAAACAAGGATGAACGTTTGACTGTATTTCCTGAACAAGCTATTTGTGAAACCAGTGGTCCTGTTTGTTTCCTTCAGGAGGATCAAAACGAAAGACCTGATTTTTCTTCATCAAATGCTTTTATATCTCAGAAGGAAGATGCACCGGAGGTACAGGACTCTGAGAACAAGGAGGAACGTTTGACTGTATTTCCTGAACAAGCTAGTTGTGAAACCAGTGGTCCTGTTTGTTTCCCTCAGGAGTATCAAAACCTAAGACCCGATTTTTCTTCATCAAATGCGTGGGAAGACGAGGCTCCTATACAAGTTCAAAATTCAGAAGTGCTGTTACTTCCATACAAAGAAGAAAGTTCCTCAGTCGGGGACATCATGGGAAGAGGTGGTGGTGAGGACTCCTCATTTGTTTTGGGGGGTGGTCCAGAAGAATCAGAGTTTGATGTCTTTGGTGGCTTATTTAATGAACCCGAGGTTGTTGCTGGGCCTGCTCCCAGACCTTCTTCATCCGGTGATGTGGAAGCTGTTACTATCATTAGAAACAACAGTGAATCTGATCCAGATGAAGTAGATGATACAGATTCTCCAGTCTCTGTAGATAGTTGCCTTGCACATTTTGTAAAACCTGAGCTTCTTTCAGATGAAAATGCTTGGCATTGTGAGAACTGTTCAAGAATTTTCCAACGTCAAAAGAAGAAAGCAAAAAAGCAGGCAAGAATTCTATTTGATGGAAATGCAAGTGGTAGTCATGATGAATCATGTCGTGCATCTAACTCGTGTTCTCTTAAAGTCAGTTGTAGAGGAAATGGAGATATTAAAAGTGACATGAATATAGAAAGTTCAGTTTCACATGTTCGGCATGGCACAGAGCTGCATAATGGCGAATTACAGTCTTCATCTTTACAACAAACTTGCAAGGAAGAAAGCAGCAATGATTCAGCTGCTAATTCTTGTACTTCTGGAAATGTCCAACAAGATGCTCCAATGTTAGATAATGATGACAATGACTCAGAAGAATGCCGCGACAAAGAGACCGAATTAGAAAGCATGAGAGTGAATAGGGATGCAACTAAGAGGGTCCTCATTTATAAAGCCCCGCCTGTTTTGACTATTCATCTAAAGAGATTCAGCCAAGATGCTCGTGGCCGCTTTAGTAAATTAAATGGTCATGTTGACTTCAGAGAAACATTGGATCTTAGACCCTATATGGACCCCAGGTATGTTTTTACTTGCTAGTTTGTTTTGAAGTTTGAACAACTTATAATTGCCTAGTGTGTCTTACTTTAGGAAATTAGGAATTGTTTTGAGAATCATTGTGTACAATTTGGATTTCTGAATTCAGTTTTACCTTAGACTTTACTGATTTATTCATTTGTATTGGTTCACTGGCATGTGATTCACTCCCAATTCTGTTGTAAAAGGTGTATAATTGAAGAGAAGTATGAATACCAGTTGGTTGGTATAGTGGAGCACTTGGGAACCATGAGAGGCGGTCATTATGTTGCTTATGTTAGAGGGGGCCAGAAGAACAGAGAGAAGGTCGATAATAAAGAAAACAAGAATGTGAATTCCACATGGTATCATGCGAGTGATGCTTATGTGCGTGAAGTTTCCCTTGATGAAGTTCTTCGATGTGAGGCATACATTTTGTTTTATGAAAGAAATTAAGGTAGAGATAAAGATTTACGAAATTTAGAAGAGTGAAAAAGATACATCATTGCAGGTGAGTATAAAAGCAATCGACACATATTGTATACCATATTTCCAGACATGTAATGAGGTATTGGTTGTACAATGCGGTATCATACAGTCAAATGTCAAGTTTTCATCTTTACATTCTTAATTCTTTTGGTTGATTAATGTCGAACCCAGTTCATCTAGTATTTTTGTATTATCAATATCGTTGTTGTGCTTACTATAGTCTTAATCTGACTCCAAATTTTGACTGGTTCTATTTTGTAACCCTTAATTTATCCTTATACTCGAATAAGTTCAATGTTCTGCATGCAAACTAAGATTATGACTATTTAAGATGATCATTAGATTATGACAAGATTGTATGACAAATGCTGATGAGGTTTGGGTCCAAACCTCTATTTGGCCCAACCCACGGGTGAGGTATGCAAGCCCAATACAATCCAAAACATATTGATTTTTTTTTTGCGTGGTTCATACTCGTTCGTTTATTTTTTGGATTGAGCTAGTAACTGGGGTATGTTTTAAACTTTAGCTTATTTGTCATATTTGAGATTTTTTTATTTATTTTAAAAATTCATCTACTTTGACCTATTTGTTAATTTAAAAATGGGGTATTTATGACTAAAAGTTGAGCTATTTAGACTATTTTTAATTTCAAATCTGAGCTTTTCAAATCTACTTTTCCCATTTAAAAATTGGGCTGTTTGTCATAATTTATCTTATAAAATAAAATAGGGCTACTTTGTTCTTAATTCTCAACGAAAGCTTGGTAATTTTAGCTACAAAATTGAATGCTTGATAATTACACAAACAGATTGTACAACAAAATTTAATCCCGAGAGTATAAGCCACATCAAACTTTAAATGCAACTTTTGTCCCATATATCCAAGATTTTATCCATCTTTAGTCAATGTAGGGTTAACTCCTCCCACTTGAATTTTTAGCCCTCTTTCCCTTGATTGTTACTTCTCTATATCATTAAATTTGATCCACACGATTTGATTCCCGCTCTTCCATTGGATTAAACCTAGACTCTGGTATTACTTATTAGAAAGTTTGAGGATCGTCAAAGTGTAGCAATGGACTAAATATTCAAGATCTTAAGAGACTTAGACACCACACCACCTAAAATTTCAAAGACAATGAGAATATATATATATATATATATATATATATATATATATATATATATATATATATATATATATATATATATATATATATATATATATATATATATATATATATATATATATATATATATATATATATATATATATATATATATATATATATATATATATATATATATATATATATATATATATATATATATATATATATATATATATATATATATATATATATATATATATATATATATATATATATATATATATATATATATATATATATATATATATATATATATATATATATATATATATATATATATATATATATATATATATATATATATATATATATATATATATATATATATATATATATATATATATATATATATATATATATATATATATATATATATATATATATATATATATATATATATATATATATATATATATATATATATATATATATATATATATATATATATATATATATATATATATATATATATATATATATATATATATATATATTTAATATTTTCTCTATTTTCAGTTGACAGAAAACTAACCACACGCACTTGAATTTCAATAATATTCTAATTCATTCAAATATTAAGAAGGAACTATAGTTGCACTATAGTCGCATATCAGGCAGACATGACCTAACTATATAAACGAATATCATGTTTATTATTTGAGATTTGTGTTTCTATTTTCTCTTTTGTTATTGGTCAATGTTTTAACAATTGGTAACCAATGATTAATTTTGATGCAAAATTTAAAGTGACAATGTTTGATGAAACATGCAATTTTGAATTATGGTAAAGAAGGATAATGATTTTTTGGCTCAATAAAATTTACACAAGGCAGTGCGTGAAGAAAAATGCTAGACATGTCACACGTTGATTGTTTAAAGTTGTAGGAGAAGGTTGTCAGATATACCTTTGGTGACACCATATTATTATAGTTATTTAATCAATCGTAATAATAACTTATTTTTACGCGCCTGGATTTTTTTATATTTTATTAAAATATATTTAATCACGGGTCATAATAACAACCGTGGTGATAGATGAAAGGTTACATGTTTCGAATCCCAACATCAATAATTTTTTATTTTTCGTTACAAAAAAGGTTTGTCCTAATACTTTTATAAATATATAAAAGATTAAAATACCTACAACCATGATTAGTACCAGAAACTGCTGTGAATAATACTTATATTTTATAACGATTTTTGTTAACAACCATGGTGATAGGTGTTGCATATATATAAGAGAAGTTATCAAGCTTCAACATAGAATAGTCACCTCTCTCAAAACAAAACTCTAACATCACTCTCTTCCACATAATGCAAACTCATCTTTCTTCTTCTTCCACATAACTCATATTTCTTCTTCATACTAAAAGGTAATCAAGTTTAACATTGTTTCTTCTTTATCATTCTTCTTCTTATTCATAAACTTTCTTCCATGTTATTCATACGCTTTCTTTCATTTTTCTTTGTATAAGTTCTAATAATCACCACTTTTGAAGAACTTTCAAGGTATATTATTCCATTTGGTGTTATAAAGGGATTTCATTTGGCATGGTGTTTTTTGATTTTGGTTTCACATGATTTTCGTGTTTTTTGGATTGTCTCTACTTGGATATGTCTTTTTGAAATGGTCAAATCGTGTTTAACAAATAAAAAAAAATTATAAATGGGAAAGCAATTACCATATCTGTTCCAAGTATGAATGTGTTCTTCTTAAATTTTTTCAAACTTACCAAATATAATTTATGTTTTTGTTTATGTTAACATGATGTTTGTAGGATTACAATGTCATGCTAATACTTTTTGAATTGTATGGAAGGTGAATAAAAAAAATTAACTCAAGAAAGTGTATACTATGGGCTTGGTTTATAAATTATTTGTGTTGTGTTAGGTCTGTGATTTTATAATTGGCAACAATTTTGGTAAAACATGTTTCATAAGGAAAACATGTATCACAGCCAGATATTGAGCAAGATGTCATGACATTTTGACCAACTGATACAACAAAGTTTGTTGTTGCTATTTTTGACAGATGTTCTGACATGCTATATCAGAACATCGAAATATTACAACTGTTTAAATCCTGGAATATTTGATTGTATAATATGAGATTCTGGATGTTTTTAGTTCTCAAATAGGCGCAACTAAGCAAAAATATTTTAGGAACAATGCATATTTGATTTGGTTTCATAAAAAGATCTTGAAGATTTTTTAGGAAACTTTCAAGATTTGTTCATATTTTTGTGGAGAAAATTATGTAGGTGATTTAAAATTAGAAGATTGGATTTGATTGAAGAGTCCAAGTCCATACTATAAGAGTCTATATATAAGGACTTGCTAAACCTAAAATTAGCAAGTATTCACATAAAAAATCGTGGGTGTATAATAAAAAGGTTCAGGGTTTTGAGAGTACTTTAGGTGCTTTGTTTGTTTTTGTATATGTCACTCATGTATCTTCTCATATATTGAGGTATACTGATTTTCATTGTTACTTGACCATCACTCATGAGCTTTTAAGTAAAGAGTTGGTTGTGTGTCAAGTTATTATTCTTACTCATGAACTTTTAAGCAAAAAGTTAAGTATTATTTGTTGGAAGTGTAATCTTCTATTTTGGTTCTTGTCACTGGTTTTATCACTGAGGTGATTGTGAGGAGTGAGAGGGGGTTCTCATATCTAGAGTGTTCTAGGTAGAAGTTACACAAGGTAGTGATTAAGAGATAAGTTGTAAACTAGGTTTCTTTAGCTTTAAACTAATACTATCATAGTGAATTTTCTTCCTGGCTTGGATGTCCTCAGAATAGGTGATGTTTGTAACATCTTATTTTCCCTATCACATATTTGATAAAATTAGAGTAATTTAAAAATTCCAATCAACGTCAAAATAGGATGTCACATTTCATCATCTCAAAAATTGCCTAAACATTAACAAATGGACACATAACACACTATTTTCGGATGAACCAACAACATAATTATCAAGATATTCAACTTCACTTTATTAATTGCAACGTAAAACATTTCATAATATGTTTAGTCACCAACTCCAATAACAATTCATAAACAACGTCTCACCAAGTAAAAGATAGTCTATAATGCTCTCACAATCTTTTTAAAAACAAGTAACAACTAAATAAGTAAACAAATGTCCATATCTGATGTTATGTATCAGAGCAAGACCCGACTCAATCTACACAATACAAGTCACATCTCTATCTCAAGCAAATCTAATCTTCGTCACCCGCGCGTTACCCATGTGGAGGCAACATTCAAACAGTAAGGGGTGAGATATCATAACAATATAAACGAATATATAATAATGAACAGGTAAAGTATGATATACATAATCATAATATCATAATTTATGCATCAACAACAATACACGACACATTTTTAACGATCACCCCCAACAATCAGCAAATCACAACTTATTCGTCAACGATGTCATATCAGTCATACTTCACGCACTAACACTAATACATATTGCAATTTCAACAATCACATCCAACAATCAACAAATCACATCTTACTCACCAAATACATAATAAATATAATGAGACCAACTTCACTAATTATATGCATGTGGTACCAATAAGGCAAAACCCTTAACTTAATAAATGCCAACTTGGGGCAACAACGCCAATACATGCCATCTTTCGCCAATACACGCCATCTTTCGCCAATACATGCCATGTTTCGCCAATACAAACCATCTTTAATGAATACATACGACACTGATATGCAACAACACAATTTTCCATGGATTACTTTTACTTATCAATGCTACACCAATAC